ACTGCTCTCACACTAGGCCTGCGCGACCAGGCCTTAACAGTTCTGGAAGCTCTCGGTGAGGAAGTGACTTATGAGCAACTCCTTGAGGCATTGGAGGCGAGATATGGCGACGCTCACCTGGAACACGTCTTTCGTGCGCAGCTTAAAGATCGTGTACAGCGCATCAACGAAAACCTGCAGCAGTGGGCTCTAGAAGTGGAGAAGCTGGTGCGAAAAGCATACCGGTCTGTACCTGCACTCATTGAAGGGAACCTGGTGCAGACATTCATCGACGGCATCCGCGACCTGGAAGTCAGAGCTGCTGTGAGGCTCGGGCACCACGAGACGCTTAAGGACGCCTTGGCCCATGCACTGGAGGTGGAAGCCGTGCGGCAGGATCATCGTTCCCATCGCGTCAGGGAGGTTGCAGCAGCTACAGTTCGCGACCGCAACAAACGATACAGCCCTAGGTGCTATGGCTGTGGGGAAAGGGGCCATCTTCGATCCAGCTGCCCTAAGCGAACCGCAGAAAGGGAAGGTGAACGATATCAGGAGGGTAGTGCGGCCAACAGCACCGCCCAGCAGCTGCAGGGAAACGAGTAAAAGCCAGAACTGCGGGGCGGGTGCTGGCTGATGTCAAAAGAGCCCCAAGGATCTCGATCTCACAAACCCACGATGGGAACAGTCTAATCATCAAGGGCGAGGTCAACGGAATGCCGTGTAAACTGACCATAGACACTGGAGCCTCTCGTACGGTTGTTAGTTCCCAACTAATAAGTCAGTTCCTTGGGGACTCCGCATACAACCGAGAACGCATTAATTTGGTAACAGCCACCGGTCAGCGTATACCCGTCCGTGGAGAGAAGGAGATGGAGTTGAAGCTAGTCAACGTGATCTACCTGCATAATGTCATCGTGGCTGATATAATGGACGACTGCATCTAGGCCTAGACTTTATGAGGAATAATTGTTGTGAGATCGACGTTAAGCAAGGTGTTTTGAAATGTGGACATGAGGAACTTTTTATGGAAGGTGCGTTACCAGGGAACGTGTACAGCATTAAGAAGATTGTTCTTCCGCGGAGATCGGAAACGATTGTTCCGGTTAGTCTTCCCCGAAACGCTGGGCAAGGTCACCGTTGTGTACTTGTGGAAAGGGTAAACAATGACCTTCCATGGAAAGTAGCTCGAACCTTGGTCAAAACCACTGACATCTCAAGAGTACGTGTGCTGAACCTTTGTGACCGGGAACAGATTATAGAAAAAGGCACACTGGTTGGTACTTGCGAGGAAGTGGATTGGTTACGTCGGTGCCAATATATATCGAGTGGGACCCCCAGCGAGGATTCAGAAACGAGAGTGACCACACTTTTGGAAGACTGTCGCAGTGTTCTCTCCCCGAACGAATTGGTCAAGGCGAAGAAGTTGTTACTCAAGTACGCCGATGTATTCTCGTCAAACGATGCTGACATAGGAAAGACTGGCTTAGTTCAACACAAAATAAACACAGGAGAGGAATTGCCTATCCGTCAGCGGCCAAGATTGCCGGTAGCACGTGAAAAGGAAGTGGAAACCATGATTGAGGGAATGGTGAAGGATGGTGTTATTGAAAGTTCATCTAGTCCGCCGTGGTGTTCACCCGTGGTGCTGGTAAAGAAGAAGGATGACAGCATGCGGTTCTGCGTTGATTACTGCCGTCTGAACGACGTTACAAAGAAGGACAGCTATCCCTTGCCAAGAATTGATGACACGCTGGACATGCTTACAGGAGTAAAATGGTTTAGCACGCTGGATCTAAAAAGTGGCTACTGGCAAGTAGAAATTGACCCTAAGGACAAGGAGAAAACTGCGTTCTCGACGGGAAAGGGTCTGTGGCAATTTAAAGTAATGCCGTTTGGGTTGTGCAATGCTCCAGCAACGTTTGAAAGGCTGATGGAACTTGTACTTACCGGGCTAATTGGCGATGCCTTTCTGGTCTACTTGGATGACATCATCATCGTAGGCCGTACGTTTGAGGAACACCTTCAAAACCTGGAACGCGTGCTCATGAAGATTCAGAGTGCCAACCTCAAGTTGAGCCCGAAGAAATGTTCACTATTCCAACGGCAAGTTAACTTTTTGGGGTTTGTAGTATCGGAAGAAGGTATCCGCACAGATCCAGAGAAAATCGCCGCTGTCAAGGATTGGCCGGTTCCAAAAGACAAGACGCAGGTTAGAGCATTTTTGGGTTTGTGCTCCTATTACCGGCGATTTGTGAAGAACTTTGCAGATATAGCCAAACCTCTGCACAAGCTAACCGAGGAGAAGCGACATTTCTGCTGGGATGAAAGTTGCAATATCGCATTCCAGGAGCTCAAGGACCGTCTGTGCAAAACACCTATTTTGGGATACCCTGATGCAAGCAAAGAATTTATAGTTGACACAGACGCAAGTGATATAGGACTTGGCGGTGTGTTGTCTCAACGGAATGGTGACCAAGAGGTCGTGATAGCGTACTTCAGCAAGTCGTTGTCAAAACCGGAAAGGAACTATTGTGTCACAAGACGCGAATTGCTCGCTGTGGTATCTCTTTTAGATATCTTCTGGGATGAAAATTTCACTTACGAACTGACCATGCTGCACTAAAATGGCTATTGCAGTTTAAAAATCTAGAAGGACAAGTTGCGAGGTGGATTGAACTACTGCAGGAATACGACTTTGAGATCGAACATCGCAGCGGAAAATCTCACGGCAACGCAGATGCATTGTCAAGAAGACCTTGTCCTGAAGATTGCAACCATTGTACTAGGCAAGAGAGTAAGGAAGAGGTATCCGTGAGGATGCTCAGGACGGACCACCTCAGCAACGAATGGAAGGACAGCTTACAACATGCACAGCAGGAAGATCCGGACGTCAAGCCGATTCTGGAATGGATAAAGGCCAGTGCTCCCAAGCCTAAGTGGAGCGACGTCTCAGCAATGAGTTCGACCACTAAAAACTATTGGGCCCAGTGGGACAGCTTGCTGCTTCAGGATGGAGTTCTGTGCCGTAAATGGGAAAATGTTAGGGGAGACAGCTGTCATTTGCAAATGGTTGTCCCTAAAGCTAAAGTACCGGATGTTCTACAGCTGTACCATAATGATTGTTCCGGAGGCCATCTGGGAGTTAAACGAACTCTACTGAAGATCCGAGAACGGTTTTATTGGGTCCACTGTCGAAACGATGTCGAGGACTGGTATCGCAAATGTACAAGTTGTGCGGCTGTAAAGGGACCTCAGACTCGTAGTAGAGGTGCATTGAAGTTGTACAATGTTGGTGCATCATGCGAGAGAATAGCCATTGACGTGGCGGGGCCGTTTCCGGAGAGTGAAAGCGGTAACAAGTATTTCATGGTTGTGATGGATTACTTCACAAAGTGGCCAGAAGTTTTCGCCATTCCGAATCAGGAAGCTTCAACAGTTGCAGATAAACTAGTTCATGAAGTCTTCTGTCGTTTTGGAGTACCTTTAGAGATTCACAGCGATCAAGGAAGGAATTTTGAGTCTCAAATATTCCAGGAAACTTGCCGAGTTATGGGTACTCATAAAACAAGATCGACTTCTTTTCTTTTTAATCAGACATTGGAGAGGTACCTAGCAAAAGTTGTAGACAATCGGCAACGAGATTGGGACAAGCACATACAACCGTTTTTGTTGTCATATCGAAGTTCTGTTCACGAAAGTACAGCAGTGACACCAGCTTTCGCAAACTTTGGAAGAGAATTACGGCTGCCTGCAGACCTGATCACCGGGATACCACCTGATATCCCACGCAGTATAACCGATTATGCAAATGACTTGCGGAACAAAATGAATGACATTTATGAGCACGTCAGACAATCGCGCCAGCAAATGTCTGAGAAAATGAAAACCCGCTACGACCGCAAAATGAACAATAAAGCGTTCAACGAAGGTTCATTAGTGTAGCTGCACAATCCAGTCCGCAGCAAAGGGAAATCTCCTAAGCTTCAAGCTAAATGGGACGGCCCGTACCGGATTGTAACCAGGATCAACGATGTGACCTACCGGATACAGAAAGGCGCAAGAGGGACTCCCTAAGATCGTCCATGTGGACCGCTTGGCGCGTTATTATGGGACCGATAATGCTCGGGACGAGCATGTCTTAGGAGGGGGCAGTGTTGCGTGAATAAGTCAACGTCATACACTAGCGCCATCTAGTGTCAGGAACGAGAGCGAGGGGAGCTTTGCAGAAAATGACATCACAAATCTTTCAACCTACAGCGCCATCTGAAGAACTAAGTTTCTAGAAAATCTAAATCTTTCAACCTACAGCGCCATCTGAAGAACTAAGTTTCTAGAAAATCTACACTCGAACACTCGTCGCTTTGCGCGCATTTACTTGAATATTCCGGATGCTTCATTGCTAATTTGTATATATAGGCGCTGCAAGATGCGATCGGGGCAGTATTGGATTTGGCGAGACAAGCGAAGCTTCGGAGCGGAATAAAGTGAATTAGTGTGTTTAATTATTAGTGTTTTTAAGTTTTAATTTGTGTAAAGTAAATTAAAGTGTTAATTTAGGTAATTTTATCGGCAATTTTAATTGTCACGAACCTTAAGCTCGTAACAATATTTACCATATATTTTATACAAGTGTTTTTATATTCTAATCTAAGTTTTCAGTAAGAGTTATTTTTCAGATTTTTATTTACATAGGCTAGCGGTACAGCCTATCAAATGTTCACTGCTCTGCATAGGGCTCTCCCATAAATTGCCTCATATTACATTTTATTATATTTTCATATTATTATGGGAATACTAACCATAGATGATAGCCATAGCTTGGCAAGCGTATTGGGAACCGCAGTTTTATTAGGAAGTCGCTGCCGCTCATCTCCCGGTTTATTTCCCTCTAGCGTCTCTTACGTCACCCACGGGACGATATGGTGTAGTGGATATCCTTACACCGCCACCACACGGTCAACTTACACAAGTTAAATTTTCCAATTTTGTAATTGATTTTATAATGGTTTGTTTTTTCACAGTTGGTACTTCGGCGGTCTGTCCCGAGCGGAGGCCACGAAGCTGCTCCTCAACGAGACCGAAAGCGGGGTGTTCCTTGTTAGGGACTCGAAGACCATACACGGTGACTACGTGCTTTGTGTCAGGTGTGTATGAGTTATATTTTATTATGATTCTTAATGTTCTTTATATGCTCTTAAGGTGGCCCTAGTCGATGGCATGAACTAAGTGGTGGGCGGGGTTAAAATGCATGCTATCTCAGCCAACATCACATACGAAAGCTAAAGTCATGATGATTTACAACAAAACGAGCGCGCGAAAATTATAAAAAGACCTTTGGGAATCTGTATATCATGAAAAATCTATAAAATGTATCTGTTCAAAATAAAATTATTTGCACTTTTGAACACCTAAGCTATCCCTGTATGGTAACTGTTTTGCAATTTTCGTTCTTCTTATGGTATTTATTTCCGCCCAAAGATGAAGAAGACTAGACTAGACTAGATAAAAAGACTTTTAAGTATATTCTTTTTTTACTTTTTTTGTTTCCATACAGGGCTAGATAATGATGAGACAAATTGAAATCATTTTTTATTTTGAACGTACACCATCAAACAGTGGAGTAATCGCCAGACTACGTTTGTATGGAAGAATGAATGGCTAGTGTACCCTTAAGAGTTTGTGAAATACTTTATGGTTTAGTGTTGTATACGTCAGCAACTGATTCTTACAATATTTACTAAAAATTTGTTGATACAAAATTTGACCAGCGCAAAGTAAAACAAAATTTGACCTGCAGAAAGTTCAAAAACTTTATTATACTAAGTTTGTATAAAAAGGCTTATTGTAATATTAAGTAATTTATGGATGATAAAAACCCCTGGGAAGGGTGATCGCTACCAAGCTATTTCTAAATTGTTTTGTGTTAAGTTTAATTAACATACATGATTGTAAGGTGTTATTTAAAAAAATGTCCCGCTGGGTTTCTTGCTGGCTCTTCCTTCTGACAAAGGTAAAACCTTTTGCTAGCATCATAAAAGGAGCGGAGTAAAAGTCTAAAGTCATAATTATCTTTATTCAAAAGATGCAATCAAATGGTGGGACATTGCGTAGATGTAAATTAGCGAATTAATTAGATAGTAAAAACAAAAAAAAAACAAAATTCAGATTTTAATTGTTTACAAACCTTTTAAAAAAAATGTGGCCTACGGGTTACGGAGGAGATAGATTTCAAAGAATCGTTTTCTTGCGCCATGGTAGCTCCGCTCCAAAAAGTGACTTTCAATAAGTGTTATTTATAATCTGTATTGAATAAAAGTTTTTGTTTCTGTTATGTAGTCCAGAAGAGAACTGTTGTTTTGTCGTGTAATGGCGGCTGAAGTGAACCCACTAAGCAGTATCGTCCCGTGGGTGTTGTAAAAGGTTGCAGAGGGAAATGAAAAGGGAGATGAGCACCAACATTTTCCTGATTACAACTTAAAACAATAAAAAAAATGTTATCTACCCGGCCTACCCAGCGTGGTATTCATCCATTTCATTACAGCCCATTAATGTCTAGTGCTGTACTTAGGCTTCATTCATAAAGTACTTAATACTGGGGATTTTGGCATAGTTGCCACGCACGGCACGGTCATAGTAAAAACAGAATAGTAGGATAACTCACGCGACGCGCGAGACTTAAATGCCTACCGTAGGGTTGTCACCGTTTTTTCGTTTACAGCTATGATTTATTTTTATAAGTAGTTATAATATTTATAAACATAATAAATACGGATATGTACCTATGCATCATATTTGTTAATCATTTCTTTAGTTTCCTTTCAAAGAAAAAAAAAAGAATCAATGTTTGTCAGAAAAAATCCAGCTTTACATTATAACAAATGCCAAATAACTAAAATACGAGTAAATTAACACTGAGCATATGGTGTCAGCTCAGATTTAATGTTTAAAATTAATATGATCTGATGTGATATGATAATTAATGTACTTGTGAGGTATGTATCTATGTATGGATATAGTAATATAACCTATTAATAAAAAGCTAATTTACTTAAGCAAATGCATATATTAATTTATTTTACAAAAGGAGAAAATAAAACGAAAAAAAGACTGCTAGCAAAATTTTATTAAAAGTTAACAAAGTCTCAAACAAAGGTGAATGCGGAGCGTGGCGGTGGGCATCTCAGACTCGGCCCGATCTTTCCGACTTAGCTTAGACTAAGTGTCGTTGTGTGCGTGCTGTGGCTCGTGCGTACGAGTCCGTACTATCACGTGCCAGGCACGCACACATATTGGCGGCGTTTGGTACATTTCTTAGAAGATAGCCTAATATTCTGTTTTTACTATGGCACGGTTAAGCGTAGCAACTCACATATGGAGGGGGGCCTATTGGTGCAGCTGTGGACTTTTGATAGACTGTATGGAAAAAAAATGTAGGACTGTTAATGTACACCAATCAAATTATTTAAGTGTATATTTGTGACACGCTCGGGGGTAAAGAAGAACATATTAAGAACACTTACGTGCAAAATATCTTGAGAACCTGGAGTCTGCCAACACGCATTGAACCAGCTCAGTTCACTGCTCCATAACCTTGAGTTCAGAACGGGAGAAAGGACGCGGCGTATAAGCTGTAACTAACCAAATATTTAATAGGCTTACGCAAAATTTGTCCACTGTTTAGTTGAAAAATTTTATTACATAAATATTGTATTAAAAGAGTTTTTATAGGCCTCCCAACCCCACCCACCCAACCCACCCCCCCCCCCTCCCCCCAAAAAAAAAAAAAAACAAACAACAAACCCGCCCAGTATCAAAAAATCTATGGTTGGTAAAAACCTCTGGCAATTAGCAGAAATGCTATTTCTAATTGGTTTTGTGCAGTTAATTGTGTAATATAATAAATGACTGTAAACTGTTTTTATTTAAAAATGTCCCACTGGGTTTCTTGCTGGCCCTTCCCGGGACAGAGATATTTTACGATACGTAAATGTAACATATGAATGACTCAATGATATTAAATATACTAGCAACTTGTCCCGGCTTCGCCTGGATCTATTCATGTGGCTTTATGTAGATTTATTTGTATTTTTTTTTTGATTTCTCAAAAATTACGATTTCTAAAAAATTCGGAAGATCGTAAGATACGGAGGGGCACACTGAAATGATCGGGAATAGAATATTTTGGATTGAGTTACAACAAAACCTTTTTTAGAATTCGAATACTGGCCTCTTAGAATCTTAATGACAATTAAAAAAAATGTTTAAAAACATAAACTATGTTGGTTTAAAGTTGACAGGTGGTTAACAGAAATGGAGCTCACTGATGCGTGAACATTTCCGTGTCATAACTTATCACAATTTTGGTCGCGGCTTATCTCTAGATAAATGTCTCAGCGAACTTGTTTCGATGTATGATGTTGAAGCACCGAGTCAAACGACAATATACCGCTGGTACGCCGAGTTGCGACGCGGTCGTGTGTCGCTCAGCACTGTTTCTTCTGCAGGTCGACCAAGAACAGCGGTCGCGCCTGATAACATCGCAGCTGTGCGAACTATTACATTAGATGACTGTCATGTGACATACGAGCAGATTCGGGCTGTTATCAGTATCAAATTCAATTCAGTCGATATTACATAATGAGCTATGTGTAAGAAAGCTAGTTTTCCGCTGGGTTCCCCACAATTTGTTCGAAGAGCAAAAGGCAGCTCGTGTAGATTGGTGCCGGAATACTCTGCAACGCTTCAACGGAGGGAAGTCAACTGCCGTTTGTAATATCGTCTCAGGTGACGGATCGTGGATTCATTCATACGAACCTGAAGAAAACATCAGTCAGCAGTTTGGGTCTTCAAAGACGAGGTCAAACCAACGAAAGTGGTTCGCTCCCGCAGCGTGGCAAAGAAAATGGTCGCTACGTTTGTCTCGAAAATGGGCATGTTGCTATAATTCCTTTACAGAAACGCAGAACAGTTACCGCTGAGTGGTATATCACCGTTTGTTTGCCAGAAATCATAGCCGAACACCGAAAAAATAACCCGAAACGTCTCATCATCTTACATCATGATAACGACAAATGATTTTTTGAAGCAGGAAAACGTTGAGCTGATTAGCCATCCTCCGTACAGTCCTGACCAGAGCCCAAACGATTTATTTACGTTACCTAGAATGAAAGTTTTATTACGCGGTCAACGTACAAATCAGTCATTTTGTCAACATCAACTTCAGACTGGAATTACTGTTTTATAGTCCGGCCGCTGAGTTATTACCGATTTGACACATGACGAATTGACAATACTAGTGAAGTGACTGAACCAGTAACCCTAATATCATTTGGGAACAGTTTGTTTTTAAATATTCTAGTATAGTGTGTAATTAAATAAAATCAAAACAATAATAGTTAAAGACACAGGTTCTTTATTAGGTGGAGTATCCTTGATGGGCGTAGATAATTGGTCGAGGACATATCAAAATAAAACAAATTTGTAAACACTGTTACACATTTTAATGAATAGAGTAGGTACAAGATGTTTTAATAAATGACTACCTATCATTTATTAAAACAATTATTCAGACTCTGAACCAGATTCGCCAGAGCTGTCATCGCTATCAGTCACTTGTATGACAATTTCATTCTCTATAATGGTGTCCACTCTTAATCGCGTTCATAATCTTCTGTTATTAGTTTTCGAGTCTTTTCGACGACCTGGACCCAATCTTCTTTCGTTATTTTGCTGCAAGCATCTTTTAATAGACCCATCATTTTATTAGTACTGAATGGCGGAGTCGTATTATTACGAGCTGCGTAACCTGTAATGTAAACATTAAATAACGTTAATTTATTACATTAAATAAACGAAATGTTACACAATTACCTACATGTAAGGGACATGAGATTATTTCTTAGTTATAGTTTTTACTTATATGCTGAATATTGGATATTATAATAGTACAAATTATTCATATTCATAACTTATGCGATAAAAAACAATACCTTTGATTTGTGCCCATATTAGCTCAATGGCATTGTACTGGCAGTGATAAGGCGGAATTCGAAGTACTCGATGTCCATGTGCTAGAGCTATCTCATCTACTTCATAACGGACTCTTGATGTTTTATTTTCGCGTACCAACTTTACTAAGTCAGGCTTTAGCATTTCGGCAGTAGTTTCAATTCCATTTTGGTGTAGCCATGTTACGAGATCAGCTTTCTTGTCGGCCTGAGTAGGCGCTTTATTAACTTGTTTCGAGTGATATGAAGTGTTGTCCATTATTATGATAGAAGGCTCTGGCAGGCTGGGTAATAATTGATTTTCGAACCAATTCGTAAAAATGTCTGTATCCATCTCCTCGTGGTAATCGGAAGTACTTTTTGACGCGAAAGCCAGCAGTCCATTTTCAAAGAAACCACTTCCAGCAGAACCGGCGTGACAAATTATCAGTCGCGATCCTTTTCCAATTGGAACCTTTGAGGTTGATGCTTTTGTTTCGTCAGTCCAAGAGCGTGACACAATGTGGTTCGCATTTAACCATGTTTCGTCAACAAAAACGACGGTGTCCCGAGACTCGATTTTTCTGGCTTCTCTTAAAAACTCGCTCCTTTTAATTATTAAATCAAATCTTTCCATTAATATTTTCCTTTTATTCGTTTTTTTATATTCAAACCCAATTTCGTGTAATAGTTTTGACAACGCCGTTTTACCGTCTTTAAACAAGCCAGCTTCTTTTAAAGAGAGCAAAAGCAAACGTCTAGTTGGAAACTCGTTCCTAGTATAATAACCATATATGTGGTTTTTTATTGCATCTGCATCAAAAACATCAACACCTGTCACGGGCTTTTTTCTTCGTTTTTTCTTATGAGTGCGTAAAACATTATCTTCACTTCCAGAAGCACCAAATTTTTCTTTATTTATATTATATAGTGTTTTTGCACCAATTCCAAGAGCTTGTGAAACCCGATCTTTCACTTGAGTGACAGGAATCAAAGGGCCGCCATTTTGTGACTCACGCTCAAAGTAATCCTGTAGCTTTAGTACAAGTTCACGACATTGACTATTCAATGTTTTTCCTCGTTTCGGCATTTTCAACAAAATTACCAAACACAAACAAAATTAGTCCAATAAAGCGCAACGATAAACAGGAGAAAGCCGAGTCAAAAAACAACGGTTACACAAGAGAACGTAGTCTGTGCGCACGAGAGTACGGAAGACGACTAAACAGATTAAAATAGCGGTGGTAAGGGTGTTGCCAGAATAGTATCGCCAATTACTTAAAAAAATACACCTATAACATTGTTTAATTGAGGGAGAAAATTATATTTATTAAATGTTGTTTTATATATTATGAATGTTAAAAATTATACATAATCATTTTAATTGTATTTATTTTTAAATCATAGAAAACAGTATTTCTGTCTTTGGATCACACATAAATCTTAAAAATCATAGAGATACTGGCAACACAGTGCAATTAGGAGACGAAAAAATTGTAGCATTATAGTCTAGTTGCTCGAAGGAATAAGTAAAATAAAAATATCCAAATAAAATAAATATCATATCTATTCCAATGAATTCGGACCGAATACTATCAAGCACATCACTATGAAAACTAGACGCACGATGTAACTTTGTACAAGCGCGCCAAAGAACAAAAATAAATGTTTTCATATTATTTACAAACTATTTTAAGTTTTGAAACAGAGTTTATTGGAAAATTACTTGATTCTGACATTTTGACATAAAGTTTTATATTAAAGAGGTATTCTAAATCATTCGGCAAATGTGTCGCTCGTGCAAGGTTATATCGATTAATTTAAGAATAATCTGACAAATCGGTAATAACTCAGCGGCCGTACTTTAATGATTGGTTGGCACGAATGGAAAAGTGCATTAAGTTGAACGGAGAATACTTTGAAAAATAATAAAATACAATTAAGCTGTACCGTACATGTGGTTTTTCATATACCCGATTATTTCAGTGTGCTCCTCGTATAAACAAACATTTTTTTTTTATATGTCTGTTCGGTCCCTCTGTCCGGGCTAATCTTCGAAATGGCTGGACTGATTGTGATGAAACTTCATGAACAGATGAGAGCAATTTCAGGAGATATCTAGGCTATATTTTATCTGAAAAACTTTTTTATAGGATTACCTTATACCTAAATAACCAGGCGGAGCCGGAGCGGGTCGCCAGTTAAACTTAAGAATGATGTTCCATAAGTATTAGTTATAATCTGCCTCGTTGGTCTAGTGGTCGTATTAGTACGACTGCTGATTATGATGTCCTGGGTTCGAATCCCAGATCGGAGCAAAAAAGTTTAAGTTTTTCCGTCAAGAAATTCTCAGTAGCTACCCGGAGTCAGGAAGTTGGTGGTGTCTCACCCCCGTGCCTCGGAAAGCATGTAAAGCCGTTGGTCCTGCGCCTGATCTCTCTCCGGTCGTGTCGGTTTACCGTCCCATTGAATTATGAGAGTGCACCTGTGCTTGCGCATACACTTGGACACTATAACCCTGTCCTGCGCCCAGTGGCGAAGCTAGAACTCCAAGCTAGGGCAAGCCCAAGATATAAATTGATAAAAATATAGATTGTTGTTTTTAGCAGTTTTATAAAAATACACCAATCTTGATCTGTCTCCACGCTTCAGTTTCATATTCAGTGCTATCAAGGACGTGTTTAACAAAGCACACAGAAGGCATACCACTGCTAGATAGATTGTATTACATATCAGCAATTGCATAGCTTCGGTGGCTTTGAAGAAAGCCGTTTGGGTTTGTTTAAGCGAAAGAAAAAAATATTTACATCCAATACAATACATGAACAAAAGTAAAACACGAACAAAGTACAAACAAACTAATGTACAAAATTAAAAAAAAATTATTTACATTCTAATGGATAAGAGATAAGATAAGATAAGCGGAATCGTCTCGCTTTCTTATGGAAAGATTTAATTACGTCCACGTAAAATGTTGGTGAACGTTTTAATTGTACCAATAACTGTTTTTAATTGCGATAATTGATAAGTCTGAAATACACTCTTAACCTTGTGTATTATCTTAACAAAGTTTAAAGATCTCCTCTCCGATCATCACTTTAACACACTTCAATTCATCACAAGGAACACTATTATCCTCCATTTTCATTAAAAATCTTTAAAAAAGCATAAATTTTGAACTCGTAATATTAAATCGCTTAAGATAAGCACACAGAGTAAATAAACATTGAAACGTGAAATGAACTTGCAAACGTATTGCCCGCGCGCCTCCGCTTTTAACAAATTTATTCCCAAAAGCCTGGCTTTAAATCTCTATACTAATTGCTATGTAGACAATCGTAGTTATATTTCATTATAGAATATTTTGCCATAGGTTAGAAAGAGAGCGATCGTCTTCTCGAAAGCCCCGTAAAAAAGCCCACGTGAGCGAGGGAGACAACTATTAGCTGTATTAAAACTCATTTTTTATGACAGCAGCAGTATCGCTAAGGCAATACGAGGTCATCGGTCGACATGTGTCGAACAGTGGAGTGCGCGGCAAATTTGAAATAGCTTAAACCATTTTACGAGTTATTTTATTAGTTGATATTATTGATTGATATTATTGATTTATTCAGGTTTAATAAGGCAAGCCCGGCTTTTCACCTTTAATGGAAGCTTCGCCACTGCCTGCGCCAATGGCTAGTCTCCGTTGAGGCAAGCCGCCATTACCGAAATTCGGTTTGGAGGACATTATTATTATTATTATTAGTTATAATCTATTTTGAATTAAAAAAAATCTTCTTCCGTTGTTCTCCAGGGAGGATGATCGCGTGTCCCACTACATAATAAACCACGTGGTGTCCGCGGACGGTACCACACGTTTCCGTATCGGTGACCAGCTGTTCGCGGATATGCCGGCCTTGCTGTCGTTCTACCGACTCCATTATCTTGATACCACGCCTCTGGTGAGGCCGCTGCCGCAAGCGAGGGCCAGGGCGGCCGCGCCACCACCACCTCAACCGCATCAAGTGCTCGAGCTGGTGATCGCCAAGTTCGACTTCGTTGGCAGTGTAAGTGGTTTTTATTTATTAATTTCTGTTTGTCAAATATACGATAAATTTGTATATCTGTGTGTTTTAAACCTTTTCCTCTAGCTGATAACCGATCGTTTCGCTGGGCGCACGATAATATTTTATTGCGGAACCTACATCTAAAATATCAAGATTTTTTGATGAAACTCTCCGTGAAATCCGTTAGTGAGCGTGTCTACATTGCAAAATGAGTAACTATACTAAATTTCAAGTCAACCGTGTGTATAGATTTAGAGATCTACTTTTACGTGGTAGAGTCATGCTGCAGTTATATTAGTAGTATAGTTGTAGCACGAATGGGTCGGTCGACCACGGAAGGACCATGCTCTCACAGAATACCAGCGTCAAATAGTAGCTTAATGCTGCTGTGTTTCGTATGCTGAGTGTAGAGATCCGGAGACCCTTTTTACTGGAAACGAGGCATTCCACCTAAGTCCTCACGGATGACAACGCATCTGCATTTTGATTCGTAATCCAGGATGGATGTAGATGTCTATGGGCCACAGCATCCACTTACCATCAGGTGGACTGTGCTCGTTTGTCATCCTATCCTATAAAAAAAAGATCTCGTGATGTCATTCAGTCAGTGGTATTTCGTTTATACTGGATGACTTTTTTTCTGTCCAAAAAGATAGGGTGTTTTACATATGAACAGAGTAGAACGCACTGATATTTTACAAAAAATAAAAACAAAAATTTTGAATCAAATCAAATCCATTATTTATTTAATAAATTAATTAAAATCTATCGAAATTCAAATCATATCCACCCTAGTTTACGAACGGCAATAAAACAATAAATTTAGTATAATTGCCGCCACGAGTCGTGAGCACACTTTTTATTGGTCGATATGACGTCGACCACGCTGACGCTCAACGTGATTGGTTCTTCAGCCGATTCTCGTCGTCTATTGGGTTCGCACGTATCATTCGACTACCGTACACTTCAGAGCAATTTTAGTGACAACTTTTTAATTAGTTTATTTTTGTTAATTGTAGTGTTACCTCATTGTTAATTATTGTTTGTGTAATTCTTTTTTACTTTAGATATTTCTGGTTTTGATATTTTTTATTGTTAGTTTTTTTTTTTGTTATAATTCGAGCATTCGTTTTTGGTCTAAATATGCAGAGAAGAAAGAATTCGGTGTTAAATAGGCAATCCCGACAAATGGTCTATTCAGTGTTTTGTTACATGAAATAATTGGGTATTGAGAAAAACATGATAGACGTTTATAAACAGACTGTTGAGGCGACTAATGTCTACGTAGCTAGTGTACGTCGTATAGTTAAAGGAGTTAACGACTCAGAATTTCGAAAATAGTCAGCGAAAATATTCAATTATGAATTGAAATAACAACAGTACCTAATAATTTTGGCCGACAGTGTACCTACGCTGGCTCAACCCCCCACCATAGTTCATCTGTGCTCACCTTTCGTGTCGGCAACTATAGGCATCTTTGACATTGTCACTACGCAGGGTCACAGACTAGGGTGGATATGATTTTAATTTATTTATTTAATTCATTTTTTTATTGTTTGTAAAATATCAGTACCATAAACTTCTACTCCCGTCGCATGTTACGCCCTATTTTTTTCCGACTAAATGCGACAAAATCTACCAAAAAAAAAAAAACAAAAGAGTCGCGTGCAGTTTTAAATTAGACGGTCCACATGGGTCGTTTTGCCGCTCGCGACAAAACATTACACTTTGCACATTCACATTATGCAATCTCGCCCACGCGCATGTCATCTACTCTGCAAGAATGCACTCCCAACGGATACGCAACTTGATAAAAATATATTTTTACTTCGCTATGGTTCTTTGATGCGAAAACTTTAACATTAACAAAGTAATTATAATGCATCTAGGTTATTTTCGTAGTAAGTCGAAACCCCCTGACCCATTTACTGGTAACGAGACATTTCATCATAGTCACGATACTATCACATATACGTGGTAGAGCCACGCTGTAGCTATATTATGGTAGCAACAAGAATTGGTCGGCTCGACCGGGTTGAACCAAACTAACGGAATACCAGGGTAAAATAGCAACTTAATGCTGCTGAGTTTCGAATGATAAGTGTAGAAAAGAAAACCAAAGACTATTTTTACTGGAAACAAGATTTCATCCTATTCCTCATGAGTGACAATGCGTCACCAAACGCGTCACAAAGCATTTGGATTCTTAATCGAGGATAGACGTAGATGTATGTGTCACAACATCCACTTGCCATCAGGTGGTCGGTTTACTCATTTGTCACCCTTATTTATTTATTATATACTTTATTGTACACAACAAACGTGAAAAAACAGATTACAGGAAGTAATACTTAGAAAATACAATATGGCGGACTTTTCGTAAAAAGTGATCTCTTCTAGACACGCTTAAGATTGGGAGACAATAGTTCAATTGGACAGTGGGAGGTGGTGTTTATTATACCTAATTACTCATTCATGAATACATGAACCATTATAACTCATTCATGAATACTTGAACGAAAATGTTCCCGAATTACAACTTCTTCCACATGCCTAAAACACGCCGACGTAACGTTTACGAAAACTCCAGTCATGTCCGTTAGGTATAAAAATATCGTAGGAATAAATAACCATTCGCTCATCCGATCTAGAACTGGTCTAAGGTTCATTGTAAAATTGTTTTGTCTAAAAATATATACGTTACGTAGTGCTATGGAGTACAATCAATATAAGACAATATCTTTATTTCAGGCATCAAATACACTTAAAAATTAAGAACCATTATAATATATATACCTAAACCTAAAAATTTATAAAAACATATAGCGACTATGGGAAACACCAGAAAAATATTATGGCTTCCGACAGATAAACGTGGTAGAGCCGCTCTGCAGCTATATTATGGATGCAGCATGAATGGTTCGGCTCGACCGGGGTTGAACTACACTCTCACGGTAGGTATACCAGCGTCAAATAACTGCTTAATGTTGCTGTGTTTCGTATTGTCAGTGTAAAGAACCAGATACCCTTTTTCGCTGGGAAACAAGGCACTCCATCTTAGTCTTTTAGTAAATGATTTGATTCTAATTGGGGATAGATGTAGATGACTATGGGCCACAGTATCCACTTACAATGAGGTGGACTGTGTGTCCGTTTGTAAGAATAAGAGTGTTATTCTGTTGTTTAGCATATACATATTCTCTTATTTCTAAATGGGTTTTTCGACTAGAGAAAAATCAACTGCGCTGCCCTAATGTGTGGTGGACACTTCGCTGACGTAACTTAAATATTTTTTTTTAACTTTCTGAGACATGTTCGGCATTGACAACTTGAATGAGGCGTGGGGACCCTATCCAATTTATAACATACACAAAACATAATTAAATTGGAAAGTTATAACGATACGGTGATTGACGCAAGTAAGTGTTTATCTACTTAATTTTATATAGAGTAAGTGTGACAAACAACGACACAGTTCACATAATGGTAAGTGAATACTGTGGTCCATAGACACATAAATACTTCTTTTTTCGATTAAGGGTCTACCCACACGTAGCACAACCACAACCACAACACGTGGGCGAGAGCATTTTGTATTGGAAATGAATAGTACAATTTACATGTACCACATTTTGCCGTCATTATCGACTGCGTGAGTGATACCGACCACAACGTAACCACGACCCAACCACTACGGAACCACATGGAACTAGCGGCCGCTATTAGCGATAACGCAACCACATCGACATTATGTCGCATAACCGCAACGCAACTGCAAAAAGCTGCAGCGACACTATTCACACGTGACCACATTTTGTCGCTGCGATGTGGTGTCGTTGTGGTGCGTGTGGGTCGATCCTTAGAATCAAAATGTAGATGCGTTGTCACCCTTGAGGACTAAGATAGAATGCAATGCCTCGTTACCAGGAGAGTCTCCAGTTATTTACACTTACCATACGAAAAATAGCCGCATTAAGCTGCTTTTAACGTTGGTATTCTGTGAGAGCGTGATCCTTCCCCGACCGAGCCGACCCATTCGTGCTGCAACCATCGTATATATAGTTGCCGCGTGGCTGGCTCTACCACGTATAGCTCCGGCGTGGCATTACCATTACAATAATCTCTAGAAATAATTGTTCCCGGTACGGTTTGTTCATGTGCATTTTTTTATAGAATAAGGGTGACAAACGAACACACAGTCAATCTTGATGGTAAGTGGATTCTGTGGCCCATAGACATCAACATTTATCCTCGAGTTAAGAATCAAAAACGCAGATGCGGTGTGTCAGCCGAATCTGACTACACTCACCATACGTAACACAGCAGTATTAAGCTGCTATTTTACACTGGTAGTCTGTGAGAGCGTGGTCCTTCCCGGGTCGAGCCGATCCATTCATCTTCCATAGTGCTATAACCATAATATTGCTACGGCGTGGCTCTTTCACGTATGAAATTGATGATTTATATATGTCAAAAACGAAAACAAAAGAAATTGCTGGAAGCTTTACTTTTACGCTCAAAATAGATACTCGTATTATATTTTTTATATGTATGTTAAAAAGGGTGAAAAACGAGACCCACAGTCCACCTTGATGGTAAGTTGATTCTGTGGCCCATAGACATCAACATTTATCCTCGATTAAGAATCAAAACGCAGATGCGTTGTCACCCATGAGGAATAAGATGGAATGCCTTATTTCCAGTTAAAAAGGGTCTCCGAATCTCCACACTCACCATACGAAACACAGCAGTATTAAGCTGCTATTTGACGCTGGTATTCTGTGAGAGCGTGGACCTTCACGGGTAAAGCCGATCCATTCGTGCTACAACCACAATATAGCTGCAGCTGCAGCTGGTAGAGCCACACCACCTAAAATACGTGTCCTCTTTATCGGACGCACTTGTGACGCTTTTCGGTAGTAAAAAATTCCTTGGATATTTGGGCTAATTCCTAAGAAACGTAAATCTTGGTAATATTGCCGTGGTGGAAATCGTATGAT